CTCTCTCTTCTGTGTCTTCTTTCTCTTCTCTCTCTTCTGTGTCTTCTGTCTCTTCTCTCTCGTCTCTCTCTTCTCTCTGTCTCTCTCTCTCTCTCCTCTCTTCTCTCTTCTCTCTCCCTCTTCTATCTCTCTCTCTCTCTCTCCCTCCCCCTCTCTATCTCTCTATCTCTCTTTCAATGGTCCTGTGTTTTCTAAAGAGTTGACAAACATCCGTTTCTAGCGTATGACAGGGTCCTTCATGTTCCAAGTCATCTTTTGTCCATGTCAGCTGAGATGTGCTCAACCAAAGTTGCTTTTTCACCACCTTCGCGAGGCAAGAGCTTCAAAGTTGCACGCAAGGGGCGGTGTGCCCCGCTGGCAAAACGCTAAACTCGGTGACCACGGGATCTGAGCTGGGGGCATTTTTTGGTGGCCATTCTGTGCTGTGCTGCCAAGCCGGGGAAGCTCCACACACATAGAAATGCACCTGGCAGAATTGTCCTTTCTAGTGAATTCCTTAGAAGAGCCTACGAGAACTTATACGACAAACACAGGTTGTGGGCCTCTGGCTTTGGTGATGCCAGCCACGCAGGGACACTAGATTGTGCAAACCCCTGTCTTGGCATGTGGTAAAGAAGAAACTCTTGGACAGCCTTGGCCTGCCAAGGAGCAACTTGGAACAATTTCCACTGCGGTCGGCTTCACCAGAAACTGAGGCTGGCCGAGCCTGCCTTCGGAAACTTTAAAAGTTTTGTCTCCCTACCTTGGCACTGCGGGAGGCAGCAACAAAGAACAACACAGGGCCACCTTCAAACTCATACAATAATTCAAAGCTTGTTTTGGAATTGCTTCAAGTGGAAGGGGTCCAACAATGTGCGTGTATGCGGAATGCATGTTCTGCACTTGAACGCTTGCATTATTCTGTATGATAGTGATTGCCGTTTCACCGCGTTGTCATGCCACCTTTTGCCCCTAGATGCTGATTTGTGATTGATCTCGCCTCTCATTTGTGTTCCATCTCCGCAATTGCAGGCTTGTTCTGTAATACCCTAGCTGCATGGATGAAGTGCCGGCCAGGCTTTTGCTTCATCTTCCAGTTGGTTTCGGCAAGAGTCTTGTGTTGCGGCGAAGGGCAGGATCAAAAACACATCTAGATTCTAGATATGCCGACACTAAGCATTTCATGCCCTGGAGGCCAACATTGACATAACCTCAACCATTACGTATCTACATCGGCTGTGTGTGGGACGCCTACTGCTTGACGAGTTTTGAACTTCTGCAGGCTGTGCAACATGGGTAGGTGGATGTATTGCGTGGTTATACGATCTGCCATGACGGTTCCACACATTGTGCGCGGTTCGTGTGGGTGCTCAATCAGGACTCAATACTGCAGTACTACAATATACACATTGTTAAATAAACAATCATGGCAAGATGGAAGACATACAAGGAGAATCCCGCATTCAGTCAGAAACCCCCAGGCAAACTCGAAATAAGAGAAGCGAACAAGAGGACGAGGGTGAGAAAGGATGGAGGAAAACAAACCGAAAGGAACACCAGGCACAAAGAATGGAAAAAAAAGGTGGCACCGATGCAAAGCTTAAACCCCAAACTCCCCAGCAAGCGCTCCATGTGACTGATCAGCAGCGTGCTAGAAACCCAGAGCCGACCAGCACAGTGAAAGTGATGCTTTATCCCTTTGAATACTTTCTATCCCTAAATGCCAAGTTGCAATACCTAACGTGCTGCACACCTCCGTGGTTCCACGGTCCGAGCAAAAGTCGCCAATGCTGCCCCGCAAGGGCCGAGAATGCTGCGCAAGCTGTGCCACTGGTGACGCATGCCCAACCTGCCATGCCAAAATTTAAACCTGATCGTCACTGGAAAATTGTGACTATAGAATTCTCGATCAATATATAGCGCCGGATTGCGAAAGGGCGCTTCCAGAAGGGTTTGCGTTACAGAGCAGCGTCATTGCATTTGCATTGCAGAACTGTGTTACTACAAGTGACATATATATATATATATACACCTTAAGTATCTGCACTTGTAGGTTGGCACAAGTACATCTGCAGCTTGCAGGTGTGGTGTTCTACGGAGGTGGTGGTACGACACTGGCTAGTACTGCAGAAGAATTGCTTTGGTGGTGGGATCTTGCTTCAGCAAGCGTTCCTGCTAAATGGTTCACGTGGTTTTTGCTGGGATATTGCTTCAGTACACACAATAGTTCATGCAACGTTCGCTGGGGTCTCGGCCCAGCAAACACATGTGCAAAATGTGTAAAAATGGTAACATACAGGGATAGAGATTTTTCCTGATTTTTTTTTGGTGTTTTTTCTGGGAATGCTTTACAAGCATCGGGAGCAGCAGAAAGGTCAGGGGACGAAGCAGTAGAGACAGCGGGAGGGAGAGAGCGAGACAGAGAAAAGGCATCCCACTTAACGAAGGAGAAGTAGGAGTGAGGAAAGAGGAAAGAGGAAACAGGAACTATAATGGGGACTTGTTTGGGTGATAAAGGCACTGGTGATAGTAGGGGTGGTGGGATCTATTAAGAAAGTGGGAGGGTGTGTTGGGGAGGGCGCAGCCACGGCTAAACCAAGGTGGGCCTTGTCATCCACCTTTGTGGCACTGCCAATGCAAAGAAGATAGTCGTTGTGGTAACCGTGGTAAGACTCGTAGCGGGGTGGTCCGAGTGACTGGAAATAGTAGGGTCGTAGTGGATGGTAGTGGGAACTAGTTTTAAAAAAGGGGGGGTTGCGGGGGAGGGCGCAGCGCCCCCCCCAACAATGCAAATCAAGTATAAATAGCGCTGGGCTGCTTCGTTTCTTGATTGGTGTAATTGGGTGTCAAAGCTCAAGGTGAAGGTCTTATCACCCAACTTTGTGGTAAGGTGTCAACGCAAAGAAGATAGTAGTTGTGGTACCTGTGGTAAGACTCGTAGTGGGGTGGTCGGGGTGATAGAGGCACTGGTGATAGTAGGGGTAGTGGGAACTATTCAAGAAGTGGGAGTGTGTGCGGGGGAGGGCGCAGCCACGGCCAAGCAAAGGCGGGCCAAAACCAAAAAGCAAAAGCAAAAAGCAAAAGCAAAAAGCAAAAGCAGAAGCAAAAGCAAAATGCAAAAACACAAGCAAAAAACAAAGGCAAAAAGCAAAAGCAGAAGCAAACAGCAAGAGCAGAAGCAAACAGCAAAAGCAGAAGCAAAAGCAAAAAGCAGAAGCAAACAGCAAAAGCAAAAGCAGAAGCAGAAGCAAAAGCAAAAAGCAGAAGCAAAAAGCAAAAACAAAAAGCAAAAGCAAAAAGCAAAAGCAAAAAGCGAAAGCAGAAGCAAAAGCAGAAGCAAACAGCAAAAGCAGAAGCAAACAGCAAAAGCAAAAGCAGAAACCAAAAGAACGCGAAAACAATTCCCGGGAAAAAACAGAAAATATTCCAAGAGAAATGCCAAGAGAAATACCGGCTCGCGCGTGCGTGACACATCTTGAACATTCAGATAACTCTATATATAATTCTTTCTTAGCCGGCCGGCTGGCCGGACAGGGCGCACGAAACGTGACCCTCTGCGGAGATCGTGTCGGATGAACCATTTGCGGAGATTGCGCGTGTCGGATGTTCAGACGACGCGTGGTGCGAATTTAAGTTGGGCGCGGGGACCCCTGTGCAGAGATTGTGCGTGTTGCTCAAAGGTGAGGTGAAATGCGATTTTTGCTCCCAAAGTGTGCAATTGTCCTCCAAAATTGCGGTGGGAGTGTGGAACTAGTTGTCGAACGCCAAGGTGGATGTTGCCAAAGTTTGCAACTGGAAGCTGTGGGCCCAAATTGACGACTTTGTAGTGCAAATGCAGTGCAGGAATCAGCTTCTTTGCAGCTGGCCTCAGAACTGACCGCTTCGCAGCACAAATGCGATTAGTCCGAGAGAGCTGGCACCTATTTGTATTATGCAGTATGGGAAGCAGCTTCCGGGAGATGAACTCTCAGAACGGCAGTGCGTGAACTGGCGGCTTCGTAGCCACATGTAGTGCGGGGAACCGCTTCTGGGCATGATTGGCAATCCCTCTGGAACAAACGCTTCTTCGCACGGCACAGTTGTTGGGATTTAGTAACCAGGATTCAGTTCTGTCAAAGATTGATGATCCAAAACCAAATATACATCTTTACATGTTGAACCAGTATCCAACCTATACCCGGCAAATATGGCTGGTTTGGCATTTGCATCAAACTTTTGTCGACTGAAGTCAGGCACATAGATTAGTTGACCAAGCATGAGATCTCTGGTGTTCCACTCTTCACCCATGGCGAGCTTATACCTCGAATCCCCAATGCCTGGCTTTGCATGGTAGCATGTGATCATCCACACTTACAGTAGTAGTACAAATGTAGTGCGCAAAGCACTTGCTAGGAGCTGTGACCCCAGAACTGGCAACTTTGTAGCGCCATTGTAGTGCGGGAAACAGTTTCTGGGAGGTGTGGCCGCAGAACTGGCAACTTGGTAGTGCAAAGGGAATGCGGGAAGCGGCTTCTGAGAGCTGTGGCCCCCAAACTTTGTAATGCAAAAATAGCGCCGCGCAGCCAGCAGCTTCTGGAAGAAGTGGCCTCAGAGCGGTAGTGCGCGAACTGGCAGCTAGTGCGGGGAACAGCTTCTGGGAGCGGAAAGCAGCTTCTCTGGGATCTGTGGCCTCAGAACTGGAAACTTTGTAGTCCAAATGTGCTGTGGGAAGCGCTTTCTGGGAGCTTGGTGCTACAATGTTGCGCGTGGCACACCGTGTGGCGAAGTTACCTTTGCGATGTCGCTGCACCATGCGGCTTTGCGTGGAAAGTGTGTTTGCGTGAGTCCAGCAAAGGGAAGAAACACGATGGTGTAAATGCGGGCGCTGCTGGGGAGCGGGATGATTGGCGGTGTCAACTAGGCTTGGCCCACAGGTGTTGTGACACGAAATGGAAACGTATTGAACAACAGAACTTGTTTGCATGTGTTCCAACGCTCCCGGGCCCCTTTTTCAACTATTATTTGAGGTCTTAACTTAAGACTTAAGATATATCCTGAAGTTTCAGAACATACCTAACCTTACGAATACCCAACCGCAGGCCTGAAATAAGAAGCGTAGGTAGCTGGCTGGCTGCAAGGGCTGGCAGGACTGCTTTACCCTTGGCAACAGCTCCGTAGAATCCCTTTCGTCGCTACAGACTCTGGAGTGGTGCGCCCTGAAAAAAACACACGCACACACACTGGGTTTCATTGGCAAGGCCTGTGACATTGAATAGAAAAAACTCTGTCGTGGCTCGTCGAGGCTGGGCAAAGGGTTGGCGAAAAGTTCCAGGTTCTGGCAAGTCATTGTCTCCTCAGCACACAAATGATGCACCTGCTGAAGGTTCCCAAATGTGTATTTTGTGATTTCAAACTTGCTTCAACCGCTCCACACTGATTTTGGCCCAGTTTCTCCAGACCCGATCGCTACAGGATCATCGATTGCTTTGATAGATCCAGCCGCTGACATAAGGTCCCAATTGCCACGGTGTTCAGAAACACACCTGAGCTTTGCTTATGGTTTCCAGCCCTCTTCCAAATGTGGGCTCGGTGAAAGTACCACGCAACAAACTCTGACCATAGTAACACACAAGGTGGTTGACGAGACAGTATCGCAGGCGTGGAGAAGTATAAGTATCGCAGGTGTGGAAACCAAACGGCCAACATGTTGACGCACCCCCCCCCACACACACACACACACACATAGATAAGGTTTCGTCCAATATCAGAATCCGCTGTGAAAGGAATGAGGGAACGGCACGGCGATTGAGTCCGCAAAGTTGAAAGTTTTTCAACACTTGTTGGAAATCTCGGAAATTTGTTACTGAGTACTTAGCAGTTCTGAATCAATGGCATGCAAAAGTAGGTGAGTAGCAAGAAAAGGAAAGAGAAGCCTCCTGTTTGTTGCTAGGGGCGAGATGAGCGAATCACCCCATGAGAGTAGAATAGAGGAGTAACAGAAGGAAAGGAACCGACGTACACAGTACGCCGAGAACCATTTCCTTCTGTTATCCAAAAGGTCCAGGTAGTCGTGCAGGTACACAGTGGAGCGTCCCCCCACTGCATCAGCACCGGCTGATACCCTCTTCGTTGGATGGGTAGTATCAGCAGTGGCCCGTCCCCTGCTTTTTTGAAAGTAAAAAGGAGAACTCCTAGAAACAAAGGGGGGCACACAAATATATACACACACACACAAAAACACACACACACACATGCGGGCGGATACATGCGGCAAAAATAGCGTTCATAAATTGATGGAATCTTGGTCAAACTGCTGCCAAGTTTGGGTGGATGGTGAGCTGTCTTGCTGTCTTGCTAGCTTTCGCCTTTCTTGCTGGCTTGTTTGCTTGCAGCCCGTGAGACTGTGTTGAAGGCCAGCCACCTCACATGACCCAAATAGAATGGAGGCCAGATGGACAAACACCTCAGCCTAGCGGGAAATTTAGTCCTTGTCCTGTGTTGCGCTTAGCTCCAGCATGGCCATAGTCTCAGCGCATTGTAGCTCGGTGAGGCCATTCAGAAGCCTGAATATGCTATTGCCAGCTTCTTGAGTACCGCGGGATGCTGCTTCTTACCACCAGCTTGATATGTCCGACGCTCGCTCTGCGCTGCTGCCAACTCCGTTTCTTTGTGCTAGCTATGGCCCAGCAAATTACCGTGACCGCAAGCCTGAGTTTTTGCTTCGCTTAAACGCCCATCTCACTTTTGGAGAAAGTCTCGCACAAGAGCATCCTAGAAGAGTGTCTTACAAGAGTGTCACACAAACACAGGAGCGTAGCACCAGAGTGTACCCCCTCGTTGGCCCTACGTCTAGGAATTGTTAGCACAATTGTGTCAGCCATACTCTGTGCTAAGTGTCACTGTGAGACCAGATTGTTCATTTAGCTGGGATCAATGTCCTCCAAGTGCTCAAATCAGCACATCTCATCCTAATGCACAGCTTTGGGGATTGGGCGATGTTGACATGTGAGATTGCAAGCTGTCAAAAGACAGCAGGAAAAGCATTTGCGCGTTTTCGCAAGCTCTATCAAGTTACAGTACAGCCAGTTCTCGTTCGCAACTGAAGGAAGATTCTTTCGGCAGTTCAATACATTAATTAACACGTATTTATATATAATATACTTATGCCGCAGCCAACTTAACATCTGCAAGCATGCGCAAACTATACTGCCAACGAGTAGAACTATTCATATAAACCGATAAACCGGGGCTATCGCTGGCAACACTTACAGCACCCCGTGGCCTGGACAGCTGTTTCCTGGATGAAGCCGGCGCCGCACCTTTCATAATCAACGGGCTGAAGGGATGAATGGCAGCCAATCTTGCGTTGTCCAGCCGCCTGAGTATCAAGTTTAGCAAAACCATATACATTTGCTGAACTCAGATCTTACGACATTGTGCAACTGGCTGAGATGCAACTGTGCAATGCCGGGTTCTTCAAAAAAACGGCCATCTATCAATCGTTGATAATCTTTGAATCATTCTTGCCTCCTTCTCCACGCCCCCCGAACCCCCAACTTCAAAGTTGTGTGACATCTCTTCATGCTGAAGCCTTCCAGAAAAGCCTCCATTTTGGTTTAAGTTGCGCATACTATATAACAGTTAACATTGATGGGGGTTCAAAGGGGTAGGTTTGCCAGACTGGGACATGTGATGGGATGGTTGCTTTTTTGAAGACCCGGTGTGTCAACACATTGTCATTGACAATTGTCATATCATTACATGCCGGAAAACGAATTGACGTTGCACCAGCTCTGCAAGAACCATCGGTTCATGATGCCACCTTCGCGTAGCCGGGCTCAATGCAACAAGTTCCAAGTTCCATGTTTATAAACGACTCGGAGAGCATGTTCTGAACACAATCAAGTAACACCTTAACAAAACATATGTTGACTTCTTGGGGCCTGGAAAGAGTTCCCGCCAAATGTCGCCAAAGAGGAAACTCGCGACCACGGCCTCCGTTTGGTATGCCAGTCTGCGGGTGTTGTTCTTAAAGTGGGTGCAACAGCAAACAATCGCTTGAAACCCCGGGATGGGGATGAACACACACATGACATATATGTCGGAGCAAGCAGGCTGTGGCACAAGAAAACACGGACCTGAAGCAGTGTGCGCCTGCTCTAGTCACTAGTCTTCAAGCCTATGAACGCGCACGGGCATGTCGCTTTTCCCTTCTTGTGTTGCTCCACTGAATCGATTCTTTTGTGGCTACTGCTGCAGGACTCTGCTTGCAGCCAAAGAATCACTTAAAATGTACGAAGCGATAAAAGAAAAACACATGACAACTTGGGTAGACACGCAAGAACTCATATGAGCCACTCTAAAAACCTGGAGTCACTCCCTGTGTCGTATCACGTTCCTTGCGCAAGGCCTTACGCGCTGCTTACGCGGCCCTCACTTTTGCTTACGCAGAGCAAACTTCCGAAATGCTTACGCAATCTTACGCAACTCAGGGTTTTGCTTACGCGGAATTCGATATGACAAGGTCCTTACTTAAGATGTAAAGGCAGGTTTTTAGAGCGGCTCATATGGGGCCAAGTTTTTCTTTTTTCAAGAGCTGGCCTTAATCGTGTTTGAAACGACCCACCTTGACGGCTGGATGTTTGTGAGCAGCTGCACGAACTGCCGCTCCAGCGTCGTAGGAAACACCAAATAGAGCCACCTCACACGGAAATTGTGTCGGAGGAGCAGTTTCGGGCAGTTTCGTCAAACGAAAGAGTTTGAGGGAGGACTAGTCAAGTCTCAAAACTCCATACCCCCAAAGGCAAACTAGTGTGATTTTGATTGAGGTTTGCGCGGATTTGTGCACGGAGCTTCGAGAACATTCATATCACGTTAGCGTTTGAGGTGGCAAGCCGCACCAACCCAAGTAACTACCGGAATCCATGCAAACTTCAACATCATTGGCTCAAGGCTGGAAATCCGCCGGTCAGTGCAAGGTGTCCACCCACCACTTGGCTTGAATTGGTTTGAGCCGGTGGGAATCAGTGCGAATCAGTGAACGGTGAACGTACCAACGCGCGATGTTGCAATCTAGGAATGTTCACCCGCTGTGCCTGTGCTGCTAAACTCCCCACATCTTTCTTGTTTCGCTTGTCTCTTTCCCTGTAGTGTAGCTACGGTCAGGTCTAGTGTGGCGGTTTGTGATGTGGTGACATGTGTCGAGAGGTACTGGCTAGCAATGTGATTTGTCAAAATGTCCTGTGGCAGCACGGGTGGTCCCGGGGACGAGTGCACAAAGGTTAAAGAGGAAAAGGGCAAAGGGATGCAAAGGGGGAAGAGGGATGCAAAGGGGGAAGTCCCACTCCGGAGAAGCTTTGCGAACTCCTTCATGCTTGTGGAGCTGCACAAGCTGAAGTCGAGCGGGAACCAACACCCTGTTCTGTCAATCCTGGACATACCAGGCCGCATCATCGTTGCAAGCAGACAGATCCGATTGCCTGATAGACGCACTAGCTCAACTCCTGACTGACGAAAAGCTTCAATGGCTTCCAACAACCCGACTTTCCAGGAGATCTCTTGAATCCAGATCTTTCACCACTATACCTTGAGGGCTCAAAAGGTTTTGAATTCCAGCTGCGGTGCAGGTGCTGGTGCTGGGTGCTGGCGCGGGTACTGGTGCTGGATCGGCGTTTGCTTGGGGTATGCTGGTGCACGCGCTGAGTCGGCGTTTTCTTGGGGCAAGCTGGTGCGGGTGTGTTGTCGCTGTTGCTGCTCTTGCTGCTGCTGCTGCTGCTGCTGCTGGATCGGCGTTTTGTGTGGGCGTGCTGGTGCAGGTGCTGGTGCTGGTCCCTCGCATGGCATGATGTCATCCCTTGGCATGACATGATGTCAACCCTGGCTTGACACCATGTCACCACAAGGCAATACATGCACAATGTGTCAGGCACCATAGGAGTGGATATCGTCTCTGCCCTGACAGATGTCATTCCTGGCATGACATGACGTCATCCCTGGCAAGGTGAACAATGCCCTTGGCACCGCTCATTGACAACGAAAGCTATTAGACATTGGGTTTATTTGCCTCAGGCACTACGAGCCTTTTCCCTATGCACTGCAATTTCGTTGAAAATCTCTATATACTTTTCGATTGCCTACTTTTCGATCCATTCCTCTTCCTTGTGATACTTTTCGCTACACATTTCCGCCACCTCCCGAGCATCTGAACACAGCACGCCATGCAGGACGAGCCTGCAGCTGTCCCGAAACTCCAGCTGTCCCGAAACTGTCCAGAATCTGTCTTTAACAAACTACCGTTGTGCCGCTGACGCACACGCCCACGATCACGCCATCACGACCATGTGTGGATGTGTGATGTGGGTGGTCCGGTGCAGGATAGCTCCACGATTTCTGACATGGTGAATGGTGTTGGTGCAGTATGTGGTGAATGTAGCACGGCGAGATGTGGAAACTTAAGCCACAGGGGCCACAGGTGAAGTGGTAGGGTCTTTTCGCAGGTGAAGTTGCACATTCATACCTTTTGTTGTGTGTGGAACCGTCGTGCTGCTGAATGAGGCTCATGCCGGCTTGCCAGATCTATGCATCCGCAAACGCATCTCGACATCTGCCCGCATTCTAAATCCTGCTTCCTTTCTTGTATTCAACTCTCTCCAAAACAGATTCACTGAAAGCTCGGCATGTGTCCTTCAATTGACCACCACAAATCCCGTCTAATTCTGTCAGGCCTGGCCATCACTCCACGGCTGTCTCCCAGCGGGTTGGTTGACACCGACGATGAAATCAATCAATTCCTTGCCAGAAGCTCTACCTCCGAAACCAAAGCTACCCGAAGCCACCACTGGCATGGACCACTGGAGTAATGCATTGCCAAGGAACCAATGTGTCTTGCGTTTCCCGTGGGCTCCAAACTACAGACTGCACACCACCTGAAGCACCTGCCCAAATGGATCCAAATTGACAAATGCTTCCTCAAAGGATTGACAAACGTGTTCTGAGCATCTGACCTGCGCCACGCACATCTGCCGAAACAACAGCAAAGCCGGACTCGAGGAGAGCGCTCTTCCACGGCCCGAGCCTAACTGTGACTTTGGATTGGCCTATACAGATCTATATGGCCTATACATATACGATCAATTACGATCATATGCAATATGCCGTGCCGTCCAATGCAGAATCACCTGATTTGAGGAAAACGGGCCCTCCATACATGCCAAGCAGCAAAAAATCTCATGGCTCCCCACGGTTCAACAACTCTCGAATTGGCCACCGCATTTCCCAGGCGCGCCAATAACGCGCCATGTGGACCACGCACGGAACTGGGTGAAAGGTGCCATCAGCGCCTGATACGTCTGACTCATCCGGCCCAAACAAAGCACCCAAACCCTAAAGTCCTCAAACCTTCGATCGTGAAGGGCCCTCAAACAGCAAAGCGCAAAGCCCCTCAGAAAATCACAAACACACACATTTTTGGAGTCTGCCTTGCGCACAAGGAGGCAGAAGGACATCCACCGCAATCCTTGCAACAAAAGTCAGCTTCCACGTCATTAGCCGAGCCATTTGTTTGACATCTTGCAGCCAGTTTATGGTGAACTGCTGAGCTGTCCTGACACCATCAGACATTTTTACATAGCCGGCGAGCCGTTTAGTTCCTTCAGGGAACTGCTGCGCACCTGATCGCTTCTCGGATCAGCCAGCCACAAAAAGAAAACAAAAGAAAAACAACAAACTCCCTTGTCATTGAACTGCACGCTCCTCGCCTCCACCACCTGGCTTCTCACTGAAAGGCCAAATGCCATCACAATCCTAAGCACCCACAGAAATGAGGTAAACAAGTCTAAAGTGCAATGCCTTTGTAGGTGGCTAGGCTTGGCTGCCATGCCTGTGCCATATCTGGATCCAACACTGGATCTTTGGAACATATTTTTTTCCCAGCTTGATAAAGGCCTCAGTTTTTGAACAAAGGGCCTTCACAATGCTTGAACACTCAAACGAACTGTCTCAGCAACAAACCACGCACGCAACGCACTCCCAGAATGGCAGGCAGGAGTGCCAAGCCAACTACACCTGGTCATATGCCATCTCAACCAGGCTTGCCAAATCAATAAGTGCATGAGTCAGGTGCCTCCACATGCAAGGGCAGCTAAAGCTACAACATCTCCTGTCCAAGTGCAAGTACATTACACCGGGAGGTTCCGCTGGATTTCAATGCGCGATGGGTGGGAAGCTGTGGGACATGGATGTTAGGCTGTTTGGTGTGAAAATGTGGTCGGCATCAATATCGTTGTCAATATTAGTATTTATATAATCATTCTGTATCTGGCTGTCCTTAGTGTTTGGTGTCTGCACCAGGCCTTATCGTGTCGACAGCGCGCTCTTGTTGTCTGGAGTTTTCAAGTTGGTGCGGCCGTGCGGCTAAACGACGCCCCCTCAAGAAGAACTGTGTTGCGCTCAGTTATCATTGTAAGGCCTTTGGAACTTGCCACTTTTCATGCCAGCTTGTAATCTTGCAGTTGGCGGGAAAACAAAGCCAATGCTTGAATTTGTTGCCTTTTTCCCCAATAGCCATGCTATGGGGTCTTGCAAAACTAATAGGCGGACGGGCGCCGTCGGGTCACCGTCAGAGCTGGTGGGCGGATGGTGTCCCGGTCATGTTTTGATGGCGTCCGGGTCATGTGATGCTGGTGTCCCGGTCATGTTTTGATGGTGTCCCGGTCATGTTGTGATGGTGTCCCGGTCATGTTTTGAAGGTGTCCCGGTCATGTTGTGATGGTGTCCCGGTCATGTTGTGATGGTGTCCCGGGCATGTTTTGATGGTGTCCCGGTCGTGTTGTGACGGTGTCCCGGTCATGTTTTGATGGTGTCCCGATCATGTGATGGTGGCGCGGTCATGTTGTGATGGTGTCCCGATCATGTTTTGATTGTGTCCCAGTCATGTTGTGATGGTGTCCCAGTCCTGTTTTGATGGTGTCCCGGTCATGTTTTGACGGTGTCGGTTATGTTGTGATGGTGTCCCAATCATGTTGCGACGGTGTCTCGGTCATGTTTTGATGGTGCCCTGGTCATTTTGTGATGGTGTCCCGGTTATGTGATGATGGCGTCCAAGGAAGAGATGGTCGATGTGTTGAAAACAGCAGCTGTTTCCAGATTTTTCTTTTTGTCCCGGTTTGTATCTTGCTATTGGGGTCTCCAGCTGGGCTAATTACTTTGTAGCTATCCCGCGCGGCATCCCGTCTCAAGGTTTTCAAACCTGATCAAAGGTGATATGTTTTCTGTTGAGTTGTTTTCCAAATGTTTGACTCAAAACGGTCGCAATGTTCTCTCTTTGGATTGAGTTTGGGCTGATCATGAACAGGTTGTACAATCACAATAGCAAGCCTGCAGGCGAAAACTGGAGTTGGCATGCGAATGGAATGAGTCAAGGGGGTGTGAGGTCGATTGAGGCCGGCCAACGGTGGGCCGCAGTCGTTTTAGACTCTTAGACTGGAAAAAGGGATCGAACTGATGCAGGATATGCCGTTGCATACACTATTCAACAGTCAAGGAGAGTAAGAGTTGCCGCAGGTTGGTTTGGACAATTTATATATATAATTGGTTTGACCCGTCTCTGTCTCTCTCTCTCTCTCTTATATTTTTTTCGCTCGGTTCTGTTGCCGGATGCTGGCGATACCCCCCAGGCTGCCCACCATATTTGGCACGCCGGGGTGCCAAAAACACATATACTAAATATATCTTCAAACTCCAACTTCCTCTGGGCGTGCGGTAGGCTGCAGGCTACCGCCAGCCAGGCTCCACGCCCTGCTCCAGCAAGGAGTTCTTGTGGCACCGTGCGTGGGACAAGTGTGGCTTAACCTTTGAAATCAAGGCCTGGCTCAAAGGGGTCAAAACGGCAGGGCTCTTGTTGCAACTCAAGCGCAGCATCCTTGCTGCAGCGCCGACTGAGCTTCAACCAGCAGCGGCCACATTTGACATGGCTATGAGCCAATTTCCGCTCACGACTCTCTGGAGCATCCTTTTATGCGCTTTTGGCACAGGCTGCACATGACTCCATTCTGTCTCCAAAGTTGCCCGAAGACATCAACTCGACCCTTACAGCTTGGTGCATGAAGTGGGTCTTATCCTCCAGCAGCATCCTCACCCTTGCAGCCGCCCTGGCATAGATACCACGGCCCTCAGTGGGACTCTGTGGCGACACACACTTAGAACGTTGCTCGCAAGAGCTGGATCAGTTGATGAAGTTCCACTCTAGCGATTACATTACCGGTGCAGTAGACCTTGACTTGCGTAACAGTAAGGCGATGGAGCCCGCTGCAACTGCATGGTTTAACAAGGGTGAAACAGGAGAGGTAAAATGCAGGTACGTTCTCAAGGCGTCCCTCGGGAATATCACAACAGGATCCTTAGAAACAGGTTTTGACACACACTTATGGATATGCATACGGAACTGATAGCGGTGCCACACGCCGGCCTAGGGTTCCAATTCCTAAGAGCACTGGTAAAACCTGATGGAGGCTGGGGGTCTTCAAGAGGAACGGAGGCCAAAAGCGTAAGCCGACGACGAAGCGACAGGATGACGACGGTCGTACTTGTCTGCCCAGTCAGGTTCTTGGCTTAGCCTCATGCCATTCAGAACGGAAGGAAAATGGCAGGTACGTCGGAGTGGCCAACTCCGATATCACCAGATCAAGTGGGTGTCTTCGTTGGTAGCGGTCCCAAGTGATCTGCCGCTACCCCCTGCTGGAAAACAAATGCCGAAAAACGAAGAGAGAACAATCCATCTGGATCCCTGTGACTACAAGGGTTACACACACACGCCTTTGGAGGGGAGGCGTAAAGCTAAGGTAAGGGCCAATGTGCACGTGTGCGCGCACAAGACAAAAGAATGAAGACATGACAGGAGGACAAGACGGGACAAAGGTGCGTGTGGTTGAAATGAAAGGGGAACCAAGTGCACAGGGACACCCGATGAAGCCCACCTCATTGTAAAGACCTGGGCGACCTGAAGCCTGTGTTTACAGGTATGTAAAGTGCACGTACACACTAAGGCCGGGACCAATGTGCACGCAAACGAAGAAAAGGATGAGATGACCAGACATGAAGACAGGAGGACATGAAGGAAAAGAGGAAACAAAAGTATGTGAAGGGGAAGGGGTGAAAGGGAACCAAATGGAGGGGACGAGAACCGATGAAACCAAACCTCATATATAGAAACACCTAGGGACATGCCTCGTTTGAGTGTGAGCGCTGTGTGTGCACCTGAGGTTGGGACAGGTTCCAATGAACCTTGAACAAACTTCGGTCGCTGCGACCACGGCTTGCCCGAGGGCTGCCACCTTTGACCGCTGCGGTCACGTAAAGGCATGAGCCAATTTGGAATTCCAAAGATGGGGCAAAAATCATAGTTCTTTCGGCCTAGGCCACCTAACGCTCGCTGCGAGCTGCTCTGTATCCGGGCAATGGATACGTTCGACAAACCCCCGTTCGACGGGTCCACGGGAGGCACTCTGCGGGCTCATCCCGGGTTGGCACGAGGCCAAACACACTTATGGATATGCATACGGAACTGATAGCGGTGCCACACGCCGGCCTAGGGTTCCAATTCCTAAGAGTACTGGTAAAACCTGATGGAGGCTGGGGGTCTTCAAGAGGAACGGAGGCCAAAAGCGTAAGCCGACGACGAAGCGACAGGATGACGACGGTCGTACTTGTCTGCCGAGTGAGGTTCTTGGCTTAGCCTCATGCCATTCAGAACGGAAGGAAAATGGCAGGTACGTCAGAGTGGCCAACCCTGATTTCACCAGATCAAATGGGCGTCTTCGTTGGTAGCGGTCCCAAGTGATCTGCCGCTACCCCCTGCTGGAAAACAAATGCCGAAAAACGAAGAGAGAACATCTGGATTTGTGTGACTACAAGGGTTACACACACACACCAAAAAAAACACGCGACACACCTCGAACACAAACCTCTCCCAATCGGGCCCATGTCAACATGCAGTTCATGTCCTTGCAATCAAGACTGTCTGAACTCTTGTCATTTAGTCAGCATACACTGCGTCTTGCCCCTTTCTTCCCACCACAAACTCCCCAGCGAAAGACCAGTGCTCTCCTGGGGAGGATATTCGGCTTGCCTTGTTGGTTGGATGCACTCCTTCTGGTGCTTCATCTCAAAGATTGCGCCGCGCACGCACATGTGCAACCAAGAAATGCAACATCAAACTTACTCACCAAATCCGCACCTGACCCGGCAATCAAAGATGGACCCCTCGCACGAGACATCCCAGCGGCACGGAAAAACTGGGACTTCAAAGGTCCTCACCACACCACTGTTTCTACAGTGACAATGCACATGGACATGGGCCAGTTATCTGTTTATCATGATTGAATAACAATACGGGGTTCGCTGTGGTGGATTTAAGAACCCAAACTCCACTTGGGAAAAGTGCAGCAGGCCTTTGCAAAAACATGCTCTGTCTGTTGTTCAATCTGCCTGTAAGCTATTTAAAAAAGTTCTTGAGCCAGAGCCCAGGATTTAGCGACATCAGGAATGAGCGCTCCCAAAACCCAGCAATGACACAAGAAAAACATGAATCCAAACGTCAAGCCATTCTCGTGAACACCTTAAGCCCGTCGACCTAATATACCTGCTCACAGGCAAGCTTTGGCAATCACTCGTGGTGACACATTTTGTCAGGTAGTGTCAGTCACGCGATGCAACCGTGTTACTGTACCAAACTCTTGGTACACCTAAAGCCTGAATATGTGAATGACAAACAGGTGCAGTGCTGCATGTTGAGAAGGAATCAAGCAAATAGTATGAAACAAGTTTTTGAACTTGATGGAGAACCTACCCCAAGTTTCCGTAGCAATGAAGCAACGGGAAGCCTGCTGCCGTCATTCCATGTTTCGATGAAGCAAGCACTCCAGGAGAGCATCTGATGATTGTTTAGACTTTCTATCTAGGGTTCTTCGGCCTTTCCCTTCACAAAGGCAGTTTTGCCTTTTGCCTTGTTCGCCTTGGTTTGGCCTCGATTACGGGATTCTGCAGAAGGAAAGGCATGCCGGCCAGGCAGGCTTTCAACCTATAATTTGTGAGTACTCTCCCTGGAATTAACATGGAAGTGGGCAACCACCTCTTTGTAGTGGAAAATGGTCTTCCAAGGGGCCATTCTCCACTTCCATGTTAGTTCCAGGGAGTGTAATTGTTTGGGGCCTTGCTCCCATCAACCCATATTGCACGAAAGCAGCAAGGTGAGTTAATCTGAACAGCAGGTGTCCACAGAGGAAGTCTAGCAAACAATGACAGCAGTTCTAAAATGCAAGAACAGTGAAGAAGCACTAAGTTCATACTGCAAAATCCTTACAGTAATTGTGTGGACCCCAATGGGATTCTGTAGACGTGTAATGAAAGGCAACTGCAACGGCTACCCCGCGCACGGCAACGCAAATTTTGTACACCTGTGTCAACCCAACTCTAAGGCACTCCGACACCTGGGAACGTGCACAAGTGCCTCTTGTTGGAGCTGCACGCTGAAGGCTTGCAACCCGAAACAAACCCAAACAACAATCAAATGCAACGACATCGGGTTGACAGCCGACAGTTTGTTCGGCTTGCTCCCTTTGTGAGACTTCCTTTAGAATATCTCCACGAAGGTGCTGTGTGGACTGTCTGGTTTTGAGCGGCTCGGCAAATCCGGACCAAACCTGAATGGCCATACTGCTTCCAAACAATAAACATCAGTATACTTCGTTGACCGAGCTGCCGGTCACCGTGAACATGATGGCACATATATATATATAATTATATGTTGTTGGAGCGCGCGGCCTCAAAACCAGCCTGCAAAATCGATCGAATTGCTCATATGCAGTCTCCATTGGCATCCAAAGAGCCTGCAAAAGGCTTCAATTCTCTGTTGTCATGTTTTGACGATGGCAGAAAACACTCCCACCCACACCTCGCTGGCTGCCAGACTCGCTTCACATACTTCAGCCTGCTGGATCAATCTTCAATTTAATTTGGTCGGGCCAAGAAATCGGCTCCTCGTCTATGAAGTTGTTCCTATCAATTACTGTATTTTGTCAGTTCCTGTTGCTTAATTACAATGTGGCTCTATCCGATCTTCTATGGTCAATAGCCGTGAGTGCACTCATCCCAAGCGTCTGTCTATTCTCGGCTTTCATTCAGAATTTCTCTCTTGGATGCGGCGCTGCAAACCAAAGCAACTAAGAGTCATATAGGGGCATTCTAACAAGCATGGTAGGCAGAAGCGTTTAAAGGGAAGTCAAACAAAGCCAAATAGCTTCAAGTATGTTTTATATTGTTTTATATGCATATATCTGTGGGTGCGTACATCCGGCGCGTCCTTCCAGCGCCATGAGTTTTCCTACCAGCGTCGCCCGTAAGGAGCTCAATCATTGCACGCAACACCTCTACTGCCATTTTTGCACAGCCAGGATTAGATGCAAGCATGCCTCTGCCCCACACATTGACTAAAAGGATGCTGAAATCAAACTAGCTTTGCAGCTCGCACACGCTGCATCATTCAAAACACGTCATTGCCAAATTCCCACCCCGCCCCAATTTGCATTTTGTAAAAATGAGTTTCCGTCGTGTGGCTGCACGGTTTGCTTGGTGCATATCAGGTCCCCCCTGCAAGGGCCCCACCAAAAAGTTTAAAAGAGCCCTTATTCATCAAGCGTTGCACTTCAGCTTCCGAGAAGCTACTCAGCGAGACATGCTGCATAGTCACTGCATAGTTAGTGTCATTTAACAACACCTGCATACAGCGCCACATTGCACCACTTCCGTGACATGCTTGCGTCATCTTGCGCATGTCTCATGGACTGCGCCACTGGTTCCGCAAGCGTTGATGCAAAGACTGTGATGCAAATGAGTCGCAACACAACAATTCAAATCATTTTGTGTGCTTCTGAAGGCTCGTCCTCCAAGGCTTGCATTGCATGTTCACCCCACAAAGTAAAACAACAACGTACTAAAGATACTTCAAAGGACATATTGACTAAAGTGAGGCTTGAAGCAAATTAAACTTTGTACAAGTGTGTCTGCAAACCCTGCAAGAACATGTAAACACAGTGCTTCTCTCGTTTGCACCCTAGCCTTTTGCATCCGCAACAGCATCCTGACAACAAGCGCATGATTCCTTTGCATTCATTCGTTTGGTCAATGCATACGCACACACAACTCAACTGGCCTCGACTGGCATTTCACCATGCACTCCGAGAAGCTTCCCTTCTGCTTCTGGGGAGCTGTCGTCGCCCAAAGGCTGTGCCCTTGCCTGGATGACTGGTGCTGGGCGACTGCGCGATAAATATTTGAAACATTTTGAAACTGACACGAGGTCTGCAAGAGTTCTATTCTATTCTGGATTCTCAAACTCCATGAGGTCTGCAAGCACCTTCCGCGCACCCATAGTGCGAAGTCCAGCCTATCAAAAATCGGTTGGACGGTTGGACCAGCGATTCAATCAAAGCCCCCTATATATTCGCCTGTGATTTCTGGACCTTCTTGGTGACATCCCTCATGAGCATCTGTAGAGATCGTCCTTTCACCAAGTTTCTCATCCTTTAATTTGTCAAGTTTATCGGTTTTTTGTTTGCACACTGGCAGCCACCTCAAAACCCATGCGACACTTTCCAGGAGATATGGAAGAATTGCATAACATGTCCTTGTGCGCAGTCTATCGTACCTGCACCGCAAAATGGGCTCAAGGCAAGCCACGTGTTCAAGAAGCGGTGTGTCATTTCCAAAGGGAATGAAGTATAGTGGGCATCGACTTGAAAGGAATGGTTGCCAAATGACATGCTACTAAACCTTTCCTTTTCCCTCTGCACGCGATTCTTTACGGAAATCATGAGACGCGTGATTCATGGGGAGAGGATCTGAAACAATGGTTGTTTGTTGTCAACGAGGCCGGTGGTCTTAGATGGAAAGCCAATTCACAAGTGCGCAAACATCTTGGAATCCCAGGTCTACTGAAGATCGGCAGGTTGCTAACGCGTCGGTGACTAGTGACTAGAATTTCTACATTGGCTTTTGTTCTGTTTAGGAACATGTTGCACGTGTCGTGGGTTCATGCAGGAATTCAAAATAATGGATCCCGAGCGTGCACTTTTTGTATCCATTCTGCATATTTCTGCATTATATAGATCTGACATTTTGCGGTTTGCCCAACACATGTTGCATTGTTTGCCCAATTGTCTGCAAACCCTGCAGGGTTGTACTGTATATAAACTCCAGCCACAGCTACGACTACAGTAGTGACAGGCCAACCAAACCAAATGACACAAACAACAAAACCAAAAAACACAAAAGCCAACAACAAGTCAATTGATTGACCTGGGCTGGATCACAGTTGTTTCTTGCTTGGTTTTCTTGCATTTGGGAGATTGTTTGGTGTGCCTTTTGTTTGTTTTCTTAGTGGCAATTCCCCTATTTGAATGAGTCATTCCTCCGGTTGGTTTGTCGCTTGTACTGCGGTAATTGGATCCAAAATTATAATCAGGATATAGATGTTCTTTATAAAGGTCATTAGTCTCTCTCTCTATCTCTTTCTAAGTCTCCCTCACTTACTCCAATCATAGGCGTTTTATTTTAGAAATGTAGAATTGTCTTTCCTTTAAGTATGTTTGCTGCTTTGTTCAGTTTTCGGGTTCGGGTTGATGTTCCTTTTTCCTTTTCTCCTTTGCCCGTTCATTTATCACCATATAAATTTCATCAAGTCAACGTGCTCATTTCTTCCAGTCGCCAAGTGTCTCAATCTCTCAGGGCCTTTAACACGTTTCAAATTATATAAAAAACAACAACTGTTTTCTGCATCATCATCACTGATGTCATTTTCAAAATATTCATTCTTGCCCTTTCCATCTCTAACAATGTGTTTTCCACAAACTGCAATTTCAGTTGTTTCTTTCCACACTTCCCACACAATTCACAAAGGTCTTTAACAAATACGACCAGTTCAGTCTTTTCCATTCATGTCAGGTTATAAGTTATAACGTCAGTCATTATCTGACATCCACAGTCAAATTTGGTGACTCTTACTCATATATATATATATTATTTTTCTTTAAGTACTTTTTAGTCTTCTGTTGCACTTCCCGCATTAAGTCCATTAAATCTGTTCCTGTCCCATTCTATTATAGTGCTCAGTTTTGTATATGTATGATTTATGATATTTCCCCAAACAGGTTTACCTGTGAGGGGTTCTTACTCCTTTTAAAGAGGTGCATGCTCGGGCCGGATGATTTTGAGTTTGTCT